GAAGGTTAAGTATCTTGCTATAACCATAAATGTTAAGCAAATTAACCTTAAGTTCCTATGTCTTTCAGACTCTAGCTGAAAGCTTCAAAGTTGGATGGAAAAGTTACAGATCAGTCAGTGACAGGTGGCAGTTGGGTGGATAGATAATTGTCCCTATCCAAATGTTACCATGTAACTGAAAATCATCAATGATTTAAAAAGTAATCTTTTCTTTTTTTCCTTAGAATGAAAAATTTCATGGGGTTAGAGGGATAAATTCACTTACTGGGATGGGTCTGAATCACTTCCTTTTCGTTTTCTTGGGAACTCCACCACATGTGGGCAGAGGGATCCAATAGCTGTTGGTTTTGTCCATGGGCTCATATGACTGGAAACCACAGGAGAAATGCACTGGTTCTCTTCAGTCAGTATTCTATCTGTGAGAGAAAAAGCACAATAGCACATCTATTTTTAACATTAACTTCTGCTTTATACATACCCCATCACATGTTTTAAGTGGTTTTTCTATCTTGATATTTTAAAAATATCAATAACAACATAACATAGTATGAAAGACAAACTATGGACACTTAAATACTAGTTAGAAATGTACGTTAATCCATATTTTTAAGCTTATTTCCCCCATTTAATTGTAAAAGAATTGTAGAAAATAGGGAAAACACAAAAAATAGAAAGGGGGAAATCAAATGTCACCAATTGATGTTACTATTTAGAGGTATTTCCCTTAAGAATTTTTTCCATAGTTGTCATTAAGTAATTGAAATCATAGTGTACAGTACATTCTATTTTATTTAAAAATCACTGTGATAACTTTATCGTGGTATTACAAGCATTATATATAAAATTCTTTTTAAATGACTCTAATGACTATATAATATACAGTCATGTAGATGTTCATAGCTACTCATTCTTCTATAAAAAAAAAACATTCTTTTTTTTTAAGATTTTATTTATTTATTTATTGAAAGTGAGAGATTGCACGTGCAAGTTCCGGGAGGGGCAGAGGGAGAGGGAGAGGGAGAGAGAATCCCAAGCAGACTCTGCACTTGATGTGGAGTGTGATGAGGGGCTCAGTCTCATGACCCTGAGATCATGACCTGAGCCGAAATCAAAAGTCGGTTGCCTAACCAACTGAGCCACCCGGGTGCCCTGATACTTAAACATTCTTCTATTGTTACAATCTATGTTTGTTTTAACCATCACAAATATGTATTGTGGTACATAAAGCTTTTCATCTACTGGTTATTTCATTTAGATAACATCTCAGAAGAACATCAAGGGATGTGAATATTTTTAACCCTAAATTGCTAAATATGATAATAAAATCCTTTTTGTATAAAGTGTGGTTTATTAAATGTTTTATAAAATATAAAAATCAGAATCACTGAACTAAAAATAACCTATAGTCCAAAAGTGGGCCTCCCTGAATAACTATATTTCTCATATTAAAATGGATATAGCAAGTTTAAAATAATCTGTAACTTACAAAATAGATTGAAAATATATAAGGAGTATTAACAAAGAAAATGCAATAAATCTACAAGAGTGGGAGATTTTTAACACATCTCTAGCAGTAACTGACAGATCAAGCATTCAGAAACAATGATGTAGAAAATCTGATCCACACAATGGACAAGCTTGGTGTAATAGACATCTATAGACCACTATTCCTAGAGCTTCAAAATCCACTGTTTGTTTTGGGGCACCCATGGAGCATTATAAAAACTGACAATATACCGGACAAAAAGCAAGTAAGTCTTAATAGTTTCAAAAGAATGATATCCTACATCATTTACTGACTCAATGTAATTATGCTAGACACCAGTAAGAAAAAGATAACTAGAAAATCCCTATATCTTTAAAAATTAAGAAATACACAAATAACACATTCAAAGCAGAATTCTTAGCAATTAGGAAGATCCAAAGTAAACTATAGTGGTATACCCATCCCACAGCTACAATGGAAAAGTTTGAGGACACCAAGTGTAAGTGAAGATGTGAAGGAATGGGAAGTTTTCTGCTTTGCTGGTGGGAACATAAATTGCTACAACCACTTTGGAAGCCATTTACGTATTACCTAAAAAAGTTGAATATTCCATATAACAAGTGATTCAGCATTCCAGTCCTAGGTACATAGGAAAAACTCCATGCATATTAGGAGACATATACAAGAAATGCATTAGCAGCACTGCTTGTAACTGAAGAACAAAAATAAAAACCTGAGAAAACTGGAAACTAAATCTCCTTCAACAGATGGATTGTTTATTTACTAAATGAAATACTAATGGCAGTAACAATGAATGAAGTACTGATATCAACATGGATGAATCTCAAACTAGTGATTCTGGGGGAAAAAAAGTCATAGCTAAAACCACACAGTGCTTTATTTTTAATTTTTAAAAAAGATGCGGGGGGCAGAGGGAGAGAGAGAATCCCAGGCAGGCTCCACGCCCAGTGCAGCCCGACATAGGGCTCCATCTCACAACCCCAAGATCATGACCTGAGCAGAAATCAACAGTCCAAGGCTTAATCAACTGAGCCACCCAGGCATCCCACAGCACAATTAAAAAAAAATTTTTATATAAAGTTCAAAAATCAGTAAAACTAATCAATATTTTTTAGCAATATCTATAGAGGGTGCCATACTATATAGAAAAGTAAAGGAATAGTTAACACAAAAGTCAGAATTCTCCCTGGAGAAGAAAAGGTGCATCTGGATGCAATCAGTGAAGGACACACACAGGCTTCTAAGAATTCATGTTCTATTTCTTCATCCCAATGTGAGTTCACAGATTTTTTTAATTCTTTAAACTACACATATAACTTTTACAATCTTTTGTAAGTTACAGTACATTTCACAATGGGAGAATAATTTTATCAATGATTTTTGGCCACCTGGGAATTAAGTTTCTGATTTATGATATTCAAAGACTTCTAGGCTTAGACTCTCTTAATGGGAAGGATTCAGGATCACCAGATACCACATGAGATTAATTTTGATTTCAGCTTCCAGACTTCAATCCAATGGACTTTGAATGGCAGAACACCATCTGTCTCCACAGAAAAATGTGGGGAGTTTCTTACAATAAATGATAAATCAATAGGAAAAATTCATCAACACTGAACCAGAGTTCACCCTGGTATATATAATACCAGACCCTTCCCCCCCACCTCCAATCCTCCAACATAAGCAAGCACACTGTTTCCCTCGCATAAGTTCAAAACAAAAATAGTTGTTTTTTTTTGCCTCTCATTCTAGAAAGCATGATCTCCACATTTCAATCCTACTCCCTAACCTTTAAAATAAGAAATAGACCTTCTTTAGGCTGCAAAATAATGTTCTTTTCACAAAAATCAAAACCTAAAGCTCTAAGGGTCTTTATTTGTATGTTCCCTAATGAGTGGGGGAATATTGCCCCATAATTAGCTATGTTCCATCAAGTTTAAGTTTGCTATGTCAGTAGAAATGTATTCAAAGCAGAGGGTTTTCTGTAAACAAAAGGAAAATATGGGTTAGTGGGACTAATTAGTTCTGGATGAAAAGATCTGTTCTTTGGTAACAATTCATCCTTCATGTAGTAGATTTTTATTTGTTAGAAGGTGAATCATAATTTAAAGTGTGAAGATTTCATTTTTAACCTCCCAATTTACTTTCAGCATCCACATATACTTATTTAGGAGACCATGTGTTAGGAATTGAAAGTTAATTCTGCTTTTATATAACTCATTTTGAAGGTATATGCTTCAATATTTTGATATTCTTTCTTCATCAAGTTGTTACTTCTCAATGGTGAAAATCCATGTTTTTTTTCCCAGAAAAATAGCACTTTATTAATACATTTCTATAATACTATTTTTCTACTTTTTAAAAAAGTTTATTTGCACCTGTAGAGTTGACATGCAATATTGCATTAGTTTCAGGTGTACAACATAGTGATTCAACATCTCTATACATCATGCTATGCTCACCCTAAGTGTAGCTACCATCTGTCCCTATACAATGCTATTATAATACCATTGACTATATTCCCTATGCTGTACCTTTTATTACTGTAACTTATTCATTCCATAACTGGAAGCCTGTATCTCCCACTCCTCTTTACCTATTTTGCCCATTCACCCAACTGCCTTCTCTCTGGCAACCATCAGTTTGTCCTCTGTATTTATAGGTCTGGTTTTGCTTTTTGTTTATTCGCTTATTTTTTTAGATCCATATGAATGAAACTGTATGGTATTTATCTTTCTCAATCTGACTTATTTCACTTATCATAATACCCTCTAGGTCCGTCCATGTTGTCGCAAATAGCAAGATCTCATCCTTTTTTATGGCTGCGTGTGTATACATATTCACCACATCTTCCTATCCACTCATTTATCAATGGACACTTGGGTTGTTTCTATATCTTGGCTATTATAAATAATGCTGCACTAAACATAGGGGTGCATATATCTCTTCAAACCAGTGTTTTCATTTTCTTTGGGTAAGTACCCAGTACAGGAATCATTCTGTTTTTAATTTTTTCAGGAACCTCTATACTGTTTTCCACAATGGCTGTACCAATTTATGTTCCCACCAACAGTGCACAAGGGTTCCTTTTTCTCCACACCCTCACCAAACTTGTTATTTCTTGTCTTTCGATTTTAGCCATTCCCGACAGGTGTGACGTGATATCTCATTGTGGTTTTGATTTGCATTTCTTTCCTTGATGATTAGTGATATTGAGCATCTTTTCATGTGTCAGTTGGCCATCTGGAGGTCTTTGGAAAAATGTCTATTCAAGTTCTGTAGGAGTGCTGACAATACTGACTCCATCTTTGGCCCTCCATCTTGCTCATGTTTGCTCAATGACGTCTCCTGGGGCTGTGTGTTCTGGGCCCATTGGAGATTAATACACACACTTTAGAGATGTCTGCCAAGACTGGGATGGTGGGAAGGCTTGTTTTGGCCTCTCACGAATCTGTTAGAGATAACATAGTCTTCCTTCTTTCCTGATGCACAGGTGATGCCACAAGATCTAATTAAAGGGTAGCTGTCAACTAGGTGCATGCAAGCCCTTTGAGGTGCATGTGAACCCTTTGATCCTACTACAGTGCCCTTCTGCGTGTCCCCTCGCTCTATAAAATCTGTGGACTAAGGTCTGGACTTTGTGGAGAATAGCTATGCAGCTGCCATGGATCGTCTTCTGCCCGATCTCCTCTGTGTCAGTCAGTTACCTGAATAAAATTCTGTGTAAACTCTACGGAGTGGCCTCCTTCATTTTCCAGTCTCAAAGTGTCTTCTCAGTTTGGCGGATATTTTACTGTCTCTTCCCCAACTCCTAACATGTTCTCTGCCCATTTTTTAATTGGATTGTTGGGTTTTTTGATGTAGAGTTGGGTAATACATTTTATTTAACTCAATAAAATAATTCACAATTTAGATTGAACAAAGACAGTATGCTTGTCTTTTATAAAGGAGGTTCTGTGGTTTATTTAAAATGACATTAGCATTACATCTCACTCCATTCTACATGTATCTCCCTGGTGATGGTCATCAATGTAACAATATTTTAAAGGTCTGCCCTTTCGTATCAGTTCCTCAAAGATGAAAATAAATTGGGGGAAATGAGCAGCTGCTTGGGAATCCTAAGCAGGGGAAAACAAATAGCCCTTTGGTTTAGGCTCATAGTTATAAAGGGTTCAAATTTAGAATCTGACATTGTGCTTGAAAGAAAATATACATCTACCCATACACACAAGCACACACACATTCACAGGCAGGCGATGGCAGGATGGAAAAAAATGTATTACAACTTAGAAACTTTGTCCCACTACCTACCTTCATTGCAGTAGTGTGCTCTATGTTAAAATTTATATAAAATATAAATTAACCTATGAATAACTTTGTGTTAAAAACAAGTTGTGCAATGTAAACATTTGCTTCTTAATTTCTGAGAATCCATGCCCCAAATCAGATTACCCAAATGGTAATGTCTTACTTAACCTCAAGACCAGGAATATTCAAGTGTTGCTAATTGCCCCCCTAATGTCCTTCTTCTGGTCCAGGATCCAATCCAGGATCACATGAAATATTTAGGGTCTGTTATATGTCTTCGGTTTCCTTTAAATTGTAACAGTTCCTCAGTCTTCTTTTGTCCTTGAGGTTTTGAATGGTACGGGCCAGTCTATAGAATGTCACGCAGTTGAAGCTTGTCTTATATTCACTCATAACTAAATTCAGGTTACGAACTTTTGTCAAGAATGCCACAAAAGTGATGCTGTGTTCTACTCAGTGCTAAATGCCCACACTTTTCAATTTTATTGCTTTGGGTACTTTTTATTGCTTCATTGAGATCCTGCTCTTCAGGATTCCAAAAGGTGTTCAGCTCATAGACTCAACAGAAGAGGCAGAAGATTTAGGAGATCCGCTATAAGCTCCAATATGGATAGTTTTGAGAACCATTTTTTCTCTTCTCCCCAAATCCTAGCACAGTGCCTGACACATAATAGGGTTTGTTGAAAGAATGAACTGCATTTCATTTCATCACCCCCAGACATGCGAAAGAGATGTGATATCCGAACTAACAGATTCGACCTCCTAGACTGCTGGAAATGATAAAATTCCCACAATAAGGAATATGCGGTTCCCCGCTATACCTATTTCACAAATGAATAGGACTACTTCCTTCCATTGCTTCATTTTTACCAATTTTTTCCCCACAGAGGGAAAAATACACTTGATTGTTGGAAAAAAGGTACTGTGTGACATGGGACTTGGCAATCTGAAGTAGCTTTCTAGAACAACAGCGGTAATTGTTGTATAGGTTTGAGGTAAAGCGTTACAAGAGAAAATCAAAAACCGTTTATCACTGACAAATTATTGTAAGATAATCACTGACATATGTAGGACGCTTAGTCACATAATAAAGTACTAATTGGTACTATTCAAGAACAAAGACCATCTACAGGTGGTACTATACACAAATTATGAAAAGGCTTTTGCTCAGGAGAGATTAAAAATACTCTATTATTTCATAGTATGTATTAAGAGCCTAATGTAACCTGCTGTCAAGAAGCTTATAATCCTGAATATGTTTGTGCACGTGTAGGTGAAATTAGATCTAGAGACAGGTATGAGTTTACGCTACAAGAACACAGACGGAAGAACACTTAATTCTATTTGCGGGGAGGGAGTAACAACAGCATTTTTTTCAAGCTAAGAGAACATCATGAACAGGTGGCAAAATAAATGCATTCAGTAAGATCATATGCCATCATTAACAATGACGTTAAGTTGTTGAATCAATGAATACATATCAGAGTCAAGTTTTAGAAAATGTGTCTCCGGATACAAGTCTGATGGGTAAAATTGGACTTTTTCAAAGTAAATTTTACCTTCTCACATATGAAACAAAACATACGCTAAATTGACCTATCTGACCAGAAACCAGATCCCCAGATCGTATTCACCATGCAGAAACACAGGTTATCTAGAAAATTCAATAAGGATGAGGCTTCGATTCACTGAGATTTCATGAAAGTCCCTCAAGATTTATTTACCTCTGAATTTTTTACCATGATTAGAAAAGGCAGGAAAGAGTCTCCCAGGGACCACCTTTCTTGAGTTGTCGATCCAAACATCCCACCAAACCCTGAAGAGGAACAGATATTTAGCCAGATTCGTCTCTGAAGCCAGCAAAGTATCTTACTCAAAATAGCGATAAAAAGGAGATAGTAAGATACAGGGGCCTAAGTGTATCACTTTCCAAATTCCCATCTGTTCTAAGAGTGTGTCGACAGACCCTTCATACTGCTACTATTTTTGAAAAGTATTCAATTTCAGACTCTAACACGTACCTTACTATTACAGAAAAATGGCTCCCATGAAAACCTGGTTTTCCCATGATTTCAGCCTCAGTGACCTTGGCAGAGGAGGAGAATTTGGATTTAAAAGCAGGGTTTTTATGTGGGTCTACATACAGGGAGAGAAATAAAGGACACCATGTGGATGCCCACACAAGGCCTTCGGATAGAGATATTTTGCATCCACTAATAAATTGGCATTCTGTTTTTGTAGGTCAAAAAAAAAAAAATGGCGTTTAATGTCTATCCCCATGATAAGAGGGTTGTATTGGTGGAATCTCCGCTACTCCTTTCTGTTTGCTGCAAAGTGCAATATCTTCAGTGAATGGTACGGCTTGGATGAAGGAAGCCCAAGAAGCAATTCTAAGTTATATTCTAGGAAAGTGTTTATCTTCTTGTGTCTCCATTCAGTTACTGCTTTTGAAGCAAAGCTTTACTTGGTATTCGCCCCTGTAAGAATGAGTGGGAAACCTCACAATAACAGAGTCAGGAGGTTCAGCAGTGGTGCTCTGATGCCCTACCACTCCTCAGTTGTAGACCCAACAGAGGGACAGAGGGACCCCACACCCCTGCACCTCGATACTACCTGACTATCCTCCTGCAACAACTCCATTCATATGTTAAAATCTAATCCCCAGTGTGATGGTATTTAGAGCTAGGGACTTTGGCAGGTATTTAGGGTCTGAGGGTGGAACCCTCATGAATGAATTAGTGCCCTTATCCAGACGCCAGAGAGCTAGCTCATTCTCTTGCTGCAGTAGGAAGTTTGTAACCAGAAAAGCGTCCTCTCCAGGACCTGACTCTGCTGGAACCCTCATACTTCCAGTCGCAGAATTGTGAGAAATAAACTGCTATTGTTGATAAAGAATAACATAAAATGAAAATGATGCATCTGAGTTTTATGAACCTGGAAAATGGGTATGTAATGTTTACTTTAAAAAGCAGGATGAAAGGGACGCCTGGGTAGCTCAGTCATTAAGCTGTCTGCCTTTGGCTCAGGTCATGATCCCAAGGTCCTGGGATCGAGCCCCGCATCGGGCTCCCTGCTTGGCGGGCTCCCTGCTTCTCCCTCTACCCACTCCCCCTGCTTGTGTTCCTGCTCTCGCTGTCTCTGTCAAATAAATAAATAAAATCTTTAAAAAAAAAAAAAAAGCAGGATGAAAGACAGACTACGTAAAAACAAGAAACAAAGAAAATGTATATGCAGGGGAGAAAAAAAACCTAGAAGGAGACACAGTGAAATGTTTTCAGGTGTTTTGTCTGAATGGCCAATCAAAGGATTTTTTTCCTGTTCTACTCTTCTGTATTGTTCCAAAATTGCATAAGTATTGTGTCTTACTTTTGTAATACATACATACAACTGAGCAAGGAATATATATGTGGACTGTTGGGGAACAGCAAGTACATCAGTATGGCTGGGTACAGTGTGAAACATTAGGAAATCAAGCTGGAAAAGTTGTTCCCAGAGGGCCCTGGATGTCCCACTGAGGAGTCGGAGCTTTATTTCCAGGTAGCAGAGAGCTAATGAAGTGGCCTAGCGCTGCATCTCAGCCCCCTTCATTTCATGGGCAAGCCTCACAAGGGAGGGGGTACCGTCTGCACCATCCTCCCTACTAGGAGTTAGTCTTCCTATTAAAAGCTACAACTTTCATCCTAATGCATCCACCTTTCCCAACCAGAATGGCTGGCTTCTTACCTGGATTCCTATTTATTTCTGTAATGAAGCTTGCACTCAGAGCCGTACTCTGAACCCGTTCCAGCTGGGCCGGGAAAATAAGGCTTTGATGCCAAGCACAGACAGAGAAAGCCAAAAACCCTTTCAAGTGGGGATCAGGATCCCCCCTGTGGATCCACCACCACCTATCCCAGATACGATGTTGAAACACCACAGAAGGATCAATCTCTCCTATGTACGGAGGAAATTTTATTCTCTTGGCCATGACGTCAAAAGTAGCAAGAATATCTAAAAGATGGGGCGCCTGAATGGCTCTGTCGGTTAAGCACCTGCCTTTGGCTCAGGTCATGATCCCGAGGTCCTAGGATGGAGCTCCGCATCGGGCTCTCTGCTCAACTGGTACTCTGCTTCGCCCTCTCACTCCGTGATCTCTCTCGCTTTCATTCTCATGCAAATAAATAATAAAATCTTAAAAAAAAAAAAAAAGAATATCTAAAAGGTAAGTCCTGAGGATGCTTCTTAGGAGAGGAAGGCTCAGATATGGTGAGAAAGAAACACAGGTAGAAGACCCTGGGTCAAAGTATAACTATCTCAGACTTCATAAACAAAAACACGTTTAGCCTTATTTTCTCTGTTAATTTTTACTTTAAGACTCTGTTCCTTTCTTTGAGTTCCAAATGGTAAAGGAGAAACCATACACTCCTAGATGCCGTGGATGTGGAG